ACGTTAGACTCGCTATCCTAAAGTCGCTTGTATACTTTGTCACGTTTAATAAGGTCTTGGAGACGAGTTTGGCCGGCCGTGAATGGCTAATGATGTAGTGGGCAACACACGGTTTCCAGGGGTTCAACACGTTACACATGGACAATGAAGTCCAACGAGTCATCCACCCCACTTTCAAACCCCAGTCAAGGTAAGATCTGCAGGTGTAATGCAGCCGAAAAATGTCGGCAAAGGTCAAGTCATGTCTCCTCCTAGACGTGTAGTAAAATCACTAATATAATAGCTGGGATTAATCATAAGATCCCTCTCTTTGAATTTAACCCATCACCATAAACAAGACTGGAGTCAAGTAATCTCTGGTCGATGCATAATGTCATGCTCGAAGCGACCTCACTTTTCGAAATGAATGTTGCTTTGACCGGTCATAAAAGGTCGTTGAAGTTCGCTGAGGCCCTTAATTATTAGCGGCAGATCGAAAAGAAGCTTGGTCCAAAGTTTGAACAGGAGTTCCTGTTGCTACAGGCAATTGGCTCTTTCACAAGTAAAGTCGGGGAGGGCGACTCGGTTTTATTAGGGTTAGGTGCGTGACGGCAAAGAGAAAGAGAAACGAGGGATTAGAGCATGTCGTTGTCTCTTTCCTTGCAAAAGATAAAGGGTTCTTCCCAAGAAAGCACACGCTAGACAGTTTGTATGAAGTTACCACCTAACTTGGACATTGTTTTATTCATTGAAAAGGGAAAGGGGGTCTTTCGAGAGGACACTCGGAGGGCCCTTTTTCTTTCCAGTCAGCAAAATTCAAGTCGTATCTCTTTCAACTGAATCATCATCGTCATAATGATGCCGGCAGGTGCATAGTTGAACAGAGTACTCACAGTCATAGCTTAAGATGGTACTTGCAAGTGGCTAACTGAAGTTTCTCACAGCTTAAGTTTGTACTACGAGATCTGACGAGATATGAAGCTCAAGTCATGACTGACCCACTTTGGATTGTCGCATTTGTTATCTAGAGTTGAAGTAGGAGTCTATCGATGGTAGAATTTTAATGGCTATACCCGTGATTGGCCCACTTTGGTATTCGCAGACGGAGAAAAAGATACTGAAGCCTGCAAATACATGCGTGCGTGGGGAGGGGGATAGAGAGAAAGAGAGAGAGGAGATAGGCGTCAGATACCAATATTAACAAAAAGGACCCCAGTCTTCTCATGCTCGATTCGATTGTTCTTTGTTTCGTAGCAATGATGACCGCGGCTAAAGTTATTTTGCTCTTGCAATGTATCAACTCGAGATTGGCAAGTTGATACTTCAAGCATATATTAATTCATTTATTATATACCTCCTAGCACATCGATGGGAATTCAGGGACGTGCTTGTTAATCTCAAACCTATATTTCGAGTGGTCTGAAATTAGTTACGGCTCAAATCAAGCATTCTACTTCGGTACTGCTCTATCTTTTTCTTTTTCCACCCCTTCGCTCAGCCAAGATCGGAGAAGAATAAACTCACGGGGCTCTAATGGCGTTCCTTTTTCCAACCTAAGGAAATCTTTTGTGAAGACGTACCATAGACTTAATAGGCTCGGCCTTGTCTTGAGGTTAGCAAAAGGAATAAACAAAAGTTGTCTGTCATAGAGAATAGATGGGCTTAGTTCAACCTAAACCGGGCTTCATCTCTCGGGCCATTTCCGTATGGTGATGGGTTTCACTTTCGAGGGTTGTGCTGTCTTCTGATTCTTCTGAACGAGGAGCTAAATCAGTCATGCTGCTCGGGAGTTGTGACGCCCTCGATTTAACTCATTCGAGGTATTATCCGCTTTGACCCATCTTATATCGAGGATCACGATTTTTTCCTTTGACAGATGGGCACCTTTTTAGGAGGTCATCTATCCTAATAGTATTCTCACCTGAGCATGCTTAACTTTAGAGTTCCAAAACTAAGCATTACCATTGCGTCAAAAGGCACATGTGTGAGTTAATTCTAGTTTTTCAGATTCTATATCTCAAAATCGCTCTTCCCCTATTCAGTGCACAGTTTAGTTCATTCTTACCCCTTTGCCATCCTAAAAGCCTGTCAAGAGTCGCTCCTTGTACAGGCCTTCTGGCCCCAACAACCATTCCCAATCCTCGTCGGACCGGACCGTTACAAGAGTCGCCTAAACTCATTCTTTGAGTGCTCAAACTCACCAATCGAGCTTTTCTTTCGAGTCCAAGGAACATAAAAGCACAAAGATCCTGATTTTGCCCAAAAGTTTCACATTTTTAGGAAAATTCCGACTTACCTGCTGAATGTTTTAGAAAGAGAGAGAGAGAGAGCATATCTAAAGTGCTAAGAAGTTCAAACGCAGTAGTTTAAACCAAGAGGCAAACCGACATTTTCCAAGAGCAAACACAAGACTCTCTCCTCTGTGGGTTTAAAGCGCGAGGTAAATATCTATTCATATGATTCAACGATTCAACTTACATCAATCGAGTGGATTTGTTGAATGTGCAATTCATTGCAGTCGCATTCTCCATGACGGTCCACCCAAGATAATACCTTGAATTAGGAAGAGAATATGGTGTGCATCCTTCAATAAGAAATATTTTGCCAGAGAGGGAATTCAGCCGTCCAAAAATTTAATATGAAAAGACAAGGACAAATTACATAATCAGAGAGAGAGAGAGAGAGAGAGAGAGAGAGAGAGAGAGAGAGAGAGAGAGAGAGAATTGATTTATGGGGCTATCCTAATTAAATAAAGAAATGGTGCTTGATCAACTATACTCAGACAAGGAGTAAGTAACACAAAATCCAAGAAAACATTGTCAAACGCGGAAAAGTCATGTTCTTAAATTTGCTTGAAAAGGGAGACAAATGCTTTGGTTATATGGTCGGTCATGAGAGTCCGCGTAAGCTTATCTAATCCAAACTTAAGAACACTAAGTCCAGCTCTGCCCCCTCACCTAATGCATTTAAAAATTACGTCATTATCTCGACAATTTTTCACTTTCCCATTAATAAACTTTGAAAGAGCTTTGGCCCGAAACAGTGTCGTTCTAGATAATTTCCAAACCACAGGGGGAGTACGTATGTTATCACCTAGTTAGATTCGTCATCACCGGCCCTTCTGGAAAATTAAGCATGTTCAAAATGAAATTCGCTTTATCAGGTTAAGTTAAAACACATGCCACTTTTCAAGCTTAATGAAATTGACTGGGGTGGTGTGATTTGGTTTTGACTTGCCATCAGCATGATCAAAATCAATAATAGTCAGTCTATTGAATTGCTATTTTCGTCCTGAAGAATTTGCATCACCTTAGTTGGGAAGCCCCTTTCTCTCTCTCTCTCTCTCACCAATCATTGCATGACAAAGACATTAATTTCAGTAGTAATAGCAAACCCTTCAAGGGGAGGGCCTACGCCATATCAATGCCTTCATGTCTCCCTGTATCTTTGTCTTATCCAAAGAGAGAGAATATCCTCTAGAAGTTTTACATCTCGAAATCCTGATGAGAACCGAGATAGAGTCTTTTAGGGACCTGTTTAGATCTAAGGCAGGGACAAAAGATGCCAAAAAGGAAACAGAAGGTGACTCCATTTCACTTCATTCACAAATAGTGCACGGAGACCAGTCCTTACACTAACTTGTACAATGGGACATCCTCAGCGATTACCTCACTAGATCATAACTTCTAAGGGATGAGAAATGGAAGGTTATTTCCATGAACATAAACAACATCCTGAGCATTCGACGCAATAACGCTGGATTGAATGGGGGTGGGGATAGGAAATATGCTAGTTAGATCATATCTGTTAAGTCATTTGCTATAAGTACACAATTTACCTGAATTTAGTAACTTAAGTTTTTATGAATTGATTTTTCTAACATAGTATCAGAGAACATGTCAAGAGTTAGAATTCTAGCACTCCCTCTAAATTTTCTTCTACCTATTTTCCTATTCCGTCAAGCGGTTCTATTCACGACTTGTCTTGCGCGTATAAGGATTGCCATCATAATCGAGAGGGAGTGTTAAGTCATATGTTACAAATATATTGTTGATCCGTTTTCTAGCGGCTTAAACTTTTAGGAAAAAACAGCTTGTCTAGTAATATTGCACGGTAAATTAACAATATAAATAACTTATGGACTGAAATGATTCTTTATCAAAGCTTTCTCATGTGATTTACAAAATAATATATTTGATTAGCAAGGAAGCAAAAGAATCGGGACAGGTATGTCCTTGGACAATTCATTTCATGTAATCTTTTTCTTTTTTGGGGGGGTGTTACTTTGCTCTTGTAAGTATTAATGTGAGCTTTATGTGTCCTATGCAACACATCACATGACCCTAATACGCAGAGAAAAACCCTAGCCGAGTAGCTAGTCAAATTCTCTTGGCACAGAGATTAGGAAATCTTCATTTCACATGTCTAAATAGTAAGAATGAGAATCCCATGCTGGGCGGTCTAACAACCACTCTAATGTCACGGGTAGTTGAAAATTTGAGATCCTCGCAATATTTGCCCGTGCTGGATCTCATCACTGTGCGTGATCTCCACTAAGCAAAATGCAAAATTTTTATAATCACGCCTTAATTACGTTTGCTCAGTGCATAATGATGAGATGAGGCCAACAGAGAAGCTAACCACCCCTCTGTTCCCATCTTGGCGATAAAACAATTCCATGGTCGGTCAGGCGAGGAAGCTTTAGATTATCATTGGAGGACCCACCCTGCACACCCTTCGGTCGGTGATGAGGAAATTCCGAGCCCTCGGATTGGCCCGTCGGAGCCGCATCGGCCCGCCATGCGTCGTGTAGGGAGCGGTCGGAGGCCCACAAAAGCGCCCTTCGTCCACAGCGACAAGTGGATTGCCCAAGGGGATGTTTGCTGTTTCATAGTTAAAAAACATTATGAGCTTCATGGATTGCCGAAGAGGAACCGGCCATTCCGGTTGCACATAACCTTAATTTGGTGTCCCTATATATAGTAGTTAGTACTCCAAACACCATCCAATTAGCAAGAAAACAGCCACATTTTTCCAAGGTCCTGAGTACAGAACTCCAAAAGGAAAAAAATTCACACGCACGCACTGCATAAACAATGCCGATTTCTAGGATCGCCATTGGATCTCCGGCCGAGGTTGGCCAAGTTGATGCTCTCAAGGCTGGTCTGGCTGAGTTCATTTCAATGCTCATCTTTGTTTTCGCTGGAGAAGGCTCCGGCATGGCATTCAGTAAGAAACTGACTTTAACTTAGTGTTTCAACTTCAATTCGCAAATTTCATTTGCTTAGCATGTCGTAACATCTTATAAAAGCAAGTCCTAAGAGCTTCCCGAAACAGAATAACCTCGGTAAGCTTCGTTAGTTTTATACTTTCGACATTTCTTTTGGTTCGATAAGTTGTGACTAGCTCGTAAGGGGTTCATATATGATCTATAATGGTGTGTGAAGCATAGTATATACAATAAGGGGCAAGCTTGCGAAGTGAAATGTTTTTGGTGTCTTGATAGATAAGCTCACGGATGATGGCTCGACGACTCCAGCAGGCCTCGTGGCAGCAGCCCTTGCTCATGCTTTCGCACTTTTTGTCGCTGTTTCAGTGGGCGCAAACATTTCTGGTGGACACGTCAACCCCGCAGTCACATTCGGAGCCTTTGTTGGCGGGCACATAACACTATCTCGGAGTGTCTTGTATTGGGCTGCTCAGTTGCTTGGCTCGGTAGTGGCCTGCTTGCTTCTTAAGTTCTCGACCGGGGGAATGGTAAGACATAAGCGAATAGAAGAAAACATTTCGCAGAAACAGAGAATCGACATACTAAGAAGAAACTAAAACTTACATGTCTCAATTATGATGCAGGAAACATCAGCATTTTCGCTATCATCCGATGTCAGTGTGTGGAATGCACTGGTCTTTGAAATAGTGATGACATTCGGCCTCGTCTACACAGTCTATGCAACTGCCGTTGACCCAAAGAAGGGGAATATAGGGATTGTTGCGCCAGTTGCAATTGGGTTCATTGTGGGTGCCAACATCTTAGCAGGTGGAGCCTTCGATGGAGCATCAATGAACCCGGCAGTCTCATTCGGGCCAGCTGTCGTGAGCTGGTCTTGGGACAGCCACTGGGTGTACTGGCTCGGCCCCTTTGTCGGCGCCGGCATTGCCGCAGTTGTCTATGACACCTTCTTCATCAACCAAACCACACATGAGCAGCTCCCATCAGCAGATTTTTAAAGTAATTAACTTTCAGTTCAAGCAGTGAAAAATGGTCTGCAGGTCATTGGGTTCCATTAGTTGGTGTCCTGGGTGTTGTGTGTATCTTTCTATCGTCAATTGTACCTTTCATGTGAAGTCTTTTTTAATTTTTGGTGCAGCTAGTCCACTTCCTGTTCAGTTGAGAAGTCACAGGATTAAACAAGCACCTATTTTCATGAATTGATGGACTCTTTAACAACTCCATGGATATTATAACAAAAATTGCACGAAATTTAAAATAACAGGACCAAGCCGCTGCTCTTTTGTGACGCCGTTCATTAAACTAAAAAAAAAAAGACAGATGAGAACAAGAATGTCACAATATAAACATCAAATGGATCAGGTACATAGATTCCCTAGTGTTTTGCTTTGGCCTCAACTTTCAACCAAAAGTCAATGCTATATAATATATGCTCTTCAAAATGCAATTGAGGCTGGATAAATTTCAGGCCCAAAGGAGAGACCTGTCGAAAGACTACACTGTCAAAGGTTAGGTGTGCTGGCTTATAACAACCATTATATATCCACTGCATTTTTCCATTCTAATCCTCCATCTAAGAGTTAAAATGGCAAATGACACTCTTATAAGTAAGTTCATTCTTCAAGAATGCAGGCAATATATTAATTACTACAACACAAACCTTCAGATAAATCATGTGTTATAGTTATATCAGTGTGTCTGCTTCATCCCTGATTCAGGAGAAATACAGGCACTTGAGTTTCCCTGAAGAAGAAACTAAAGAAAAATTGTGCACCCATAATAATAAACCCCCACTGTTAGGAAGGATGATCAAATAGGCCGCAGTGATAAATGGCAAGAGATGAGTGGGATTATTGAGGACAACAAATGGCTTAGCTAGCGTAGCCGAAAGTAAAGATTTACAACAAGCGGGTATCAGAAGGAGGAATTAGATTCAGTTCTTTTTCTTCTCATGGCGCTTCCCCAGTTTTGACCGCCTTTGCTTAAACAAATGCAGATAAAGTTTGAACCATAGGAACGGATAGACCAGAAGTAGAACCTGCCATAACATTCAGATGGAATGTTCATTAGCTTCGTGAGATAATAACCGCATGGCATTTGATTAATATATGCTTTTATTGTAATTTAATGAATGTCACACAATGAAAGGTGCAAAAATAGACAATAAAAAAGGAAAAACAAACACTAGTCCCAGAATGACTAAAGTAGCAAAATCAAGTAATACCGACCAGGAAAAGGTCAAAAGTGATTTATCTAAAGATGCTAGAGAATGTTCTTGTTCCGCGAAACTTCAAAGATATTTTTAATGAATCTTTGAGTGGACACTCAAGGTAAAATAGAACATTCCAGAACCCCCATATTAATTCTTTTTGGCCATCGACTCCCATATGAATAGGATGGGTATCCCGGACAATGACAGGTTTAGCGAAGGCTCCAGTAGAACCGTCAACTTTTGTCTCTTTCTCGGTGGAAAAACATAAGACCTGGTCTATCCTAGGTTTAACATATCCCGGAGACATGATTCCACATCGACAAAAGCATATGTCCCACTATCCCCGCAAAAAGATGTGAAGCAACTAGACACTCACAATGCAACATATTGCACTTCTTCCTCATGAATGTAGAGACTCAAAATCAAATGAAATGGGAAGGTAGAATCACAGACATAATAAAAATGTACCAAACATACCCGGACGAAATCATAATAATTGAAGGGAATGCTGGAAAAGAAATCCGCATAGAGGTCAGTCTTCTTAATGAAAGGAAGTGCCTGGAACATGAGCCACACTGCATCGCAACAGAAGAACAATGAAAGATACGAATGCATCAGCCAATCTGACTTTTGCTTTTGTGGACTATGGATTTCAGTGTTACTCTATTGCACTTGTTTCAGATGAGTAATTATAAGATCTTTATGCAGAAATTTACACTCACTTTCACCAGGAGCTACTCCTAATGGATAGAGCACAATAAATGTGGTGTACCTAGCGAAATGCGCAAGCAGTTAGAATCACCAGCATGAGTACCAGAGCAAAATAAGTAACGTGAGAATGTATGGATATATGTCCATATATCAACGTGGATATTTCTTTGAATGCAGAGAAAAAGAGAACCTGAGATAGGTAACCCAAGGTGGACAACATTTCAAGCAATTCAAAGCATAATGCAGGTACCTGATCACCTGCATGCATAATTATGATTGCCATTTACTCTCCAAGGTCCGAACTATATAGGTGAAACTGCGAGAGTGCAAAATGGATGGTACATAGGAAAGTAATAAATAATGACTTATGAGAAAATGTCAAATCCATTAGTATCTTGCAGTAGGAAAGATAAATTGCATGTGATTTTGGAATATACTTACAGGGAATTGGACAAAAAAATGAAGTAGAGCAAGCAGGAGGAGATAATAAAAAAAGTGAAGAAACCTCATCCCCTGTCTGTAAGCCAAATTGAATGGACATGATAATGACAATAACTGACACAGGGTTTAATTATGTCTAAATACCTCTTTCCGTGTCTCTAAGTAATGAAAGTACGTGCTCGAATTCGAAGAAGATGTGCTACCATCATTATACATGAGCTCAATAGCACTCTCAACCTCAGATCAACCCAATAATTCATTCCATTGGTCGGGCAACGTTATCAGACACGGAGAGTTTGCAAGAACTCATTGGAAGTTGCAGATGTTTGTTTTAGCGTACATAGTATGTAGAATGGGTAATAAGGGTTAAGCGGGATAATATCGGTTTGATTTGTATTCGATCCACTCAATCTCACCATACTCATCCATTTTCCACCTTTTGGACATGGCATGGTGATGAAGATCTGATACTTCTTCTTTAGTAACAGCATGGTAAAACCCGTTGAAGTTTTCAAACTTTTGACAATCTAATACTATGAGATTAATACAATTTAAGTTCTCAATTTCCCATGTTAGGCAAAATATACATGGAGTCTATCAGATTCTATATGTAGCAAAACAAAGATGTCTGAGAGCTTACATCACTTAGACACCAGGCAATGAAGGTTATGAAAACTGATGGTGATTCTTGGATCTGCAGATGACAAGAGGAACAGAACAGCAGCGTCAGTTAAAGCATGCAGTTTTCCCCATCAACAACTAATTAGACGAAAACCAGCGATGTTTCATCAATCCAGGTCTGCCAGTCTCGGAGGATGTAATTGAGCGACAGAAGTATGCAGCTGACCTCACTGATTCGACGAACAATTGCCAACAGAAAATGCGCTCTTCCAGCCCATTGCATCAGAGGAAACAACACCCCACTCGGAACAATTCCTTCAATTTTAGTTCTTCAGTAAGATGCACGGACCGATATGTACGAGCAGTGGCAGAAGGCAGAAAAGATACTAACGTAGAAGACGAATTTTACAAATGACCTACCTAGCTAAAGACCCATTTTCAGATTGCCTCTCAAACTTCTAATAACTCACAAAACAACCCACTTCAGCTTTGCTTCCAAGCAAAATGTTCACATTTCCAGTGATTTCGGCCGGAGATATCACATGCTTTACTTATGGAATTTATCAACAGCCAAGAAAATGATGAGCATAACACCCCCCGCCACCACCACCCAAAAAAAAGAAAGACACAGCTAAAACGCGCGAAAATTTTTTGCGAATTTTCTATATAAACATGAAGAGGTTCGTTGCTGGCAATGGTGTAGGAGTTACGCAGGCAAAACGCGAATTTACCTAATGCTCCGTGGAGGACTTCGATGCACGCAGCAGCTTGAAGCAGACCTAGAAGGAAGAGAAGCACGAAACACTTCAAAACGCGATTCCACTACTACTACTACTAACTCTAATGCCGAAAAGAAGGAAGAGGAGGAGAACCAGCATCTCACAGACAAGCTCTCCGGCGGAAGCGTAGGCGCCATTGACGGACTTGGCGACGGCGAGGCCGCTCAGAATTCGGAAGAGAGAAACCGACCTGCAATTTGCATTGGAAGAGGGGGGGCGGCGGGGCGCTACAATGTCTCATCGAGCCATGGTGCAGATAGATTGCGAGAGAGCGAGAGATTCAGCAGCAGATAGATAGATAGATAGATAGATTACCATCCGAAGGCTTGAAGAGAGTTGTAAGCGAAGAGGTAGGGCTTTGACAGTCGAGGCATCTGGCGACCGTGGCGCTCCGCCTCCATCGTTTCTTCTGCGCTCTGCCTTCGCGCGCTATCCTCCATCCATTTTTTTTTTTTGGCTTTGGGCACTCCCTTTTTGCTCCGTGCACGCCCTTCGTGATCCCGCCGCGGGCCTGGGCTTTGGGCCCTCCTCGCATGTTGGGCCTCGCCATCGAAACGAGAAAGACAATTTATTTATTTCTCCTTGAAGTTCTCTGAGATCTCTATATATATTCTATATCCACCAAAGCCGTAAGCCGAGAACGGTAAGAATATTAACGATTCTTTAACTATGGTCTTCGTTCGCATCCTCCGTGATCCCCCGAGTCATCATTCTTTTTGTGTCGCGTGACTTCAATCCGATGCTTTTAGCGTCTAATTTGACGAGGTTGACGCGTGGACATGGTGTAAAGATGGTTACTTTCGTTCCGAGTCAATATATGGGCGACTCTGATGAATATATGTGTTGCTTTGAAGTTTCAGATTGTCATTAACAGTGCAATTACAGGCTTAGGGAGACTGGTCTGGTGGTAGTCGAGGGATCCTCCAATAACTCCGTTTGATAAAGATAGAGAGACGACATCACTTAATAGATCGCGCTTAAGTTGACCTCAGCATAGTGTGCATTTTAGTTCGTGCTTCCCTGTACCAGTGATTCTATTATGGGAGATTAGGACAACAACGGATGACAAACTCTCCTTAAAGTAAATTTCTCAGGCCTCTCAAGTGTCTGACTCTCCTGTATGACTCATTCACTTGGGTTAACTGTTCTCTCACATGTAAGAAGACTTAAATTGCTCATTCGTCGTCGATCATGTTTTAATGATGTCGAGTCCCAAGAATTAACTGAGCTGAGATTAGAGACCCGGATGTTTGCACTATTGTGGAGACAGATGAAAGTTTCCTTAAAGGATGAGGAGAACCTATTATCGGGCAGCTTCGTCAGTTTCTCAGTTCCGGAACTCCCATTCTGTTCAGAATTCTCACAAGTCATAAGTTGGACTGAAACAACATCATGAATTGTCAAACCAGATTAATCATCATTGATACGAGTTATTTGTATATATGACTTGATGTCATCGACAACTTCCTTCTCTGGAGGTGTTCACAATGTCGTGGTTCATAATTGCGTCTTCAAAGAACTGTCATCGTGCATTTTTATGGAGCTTTGTACCATCATCGCTCTGGTGGCTAAGAAAACACCGCCCAACTTCTGTCGGAATCTGAATTCAAGATTTTAACGTGTGTCGACTGAGAAGTAACCGGGTTTCTTCTGAATGGTTGGAACTACAATTTTGTGGCTTGGCCTGCATGGTAGGTTAGCAATGGCCATGTGGAAAACCATACCTCAAACTTAAACGTATTGAAAGTGCTAATGTGAGTTTAAAAGAAGTTCCTTCAATGGGATGTATCTGGTAGGATATTCGTTCAGTCCTTCTGAACTGAATGCAACACATTAATAAGAAACTAATTTGGGTGGCTATCCACTTGCTTATTTTACTTCTGTGTCACTAAAGATTTTCTTTAAAGGCACGACATCTTTTGAAAAGCAGAGGTCTTCCAGTTTGGTAAGTGCGTGCCACCTGTTTGTTCCACTTGCTCTACAATACGCTTTGTTGAAAATGTTTTAACCTATACACGGTCGATTTTTTCAACTTTTAAGTGACCTACATCCTTTACTTTCCGGTGCTCAACAACGGAAAAAGTATCAAAAAAATCTTAAATCTTTTGCATTGATACCAATTGAATCTTAAACCTTTTTTTTTGCGCCAAATGAGTCATAAATATTTTGTCTTTGTGTCAATTCAATCGTTCCAGCTAATTTTAATCGGATTTTACTGATGTGAATGCCAGCCGGCCGACCTACGTGGCAAGGCCAGTGCTGACGTGAATAATTATTAATAATATTTTATTATTTTTTTCCTTTTTTCTTTCTTTTTCTTTTTTTTTTCCTCTTCTCCCTCCTTACTCCAGCCGGTCGCCGGTCCAGCGACCGGCCACTGGTGAGGCTCGCCCTCGCCAGTAACAGCAAAGGCGAGCCTCGCCATGGCCGGACGAGGATCGACCTTGCCAGATCCAGCGTGGAAGGGCCTCGCCCAGCCGCTGGCGAGGGCGGCCTCGCACTGTGCAGGCAAGGGTTGAGCGAGGCCGCCCTCGCCAGCAGCAGGGCGAGGCCCAGCCACGCCGGATCTAGCAAGGCTCGCCAGCCTAGCGCAAGTCCACCCTCGCCAGTAGTTGGGCGAGGCCCAACCTCATCAGATCTGGTGAGGTCGAGCCTCGCCCATGGCTGACGAGGCCGGCCTCTGGCGATCGGCAACCGACTAGAGTAAGGGAGAAGAAGAGGAAAAAAAGAAAGAAAAAAAAATCAAAAAATAATAAAATATGTTAAAATATTATTAAAAATTGTCTACGTCAGCGTCGGTCATGCCACGTAGGCCAGCCGGCGTCCACGTCAGTAAAATCCGGCCAAAATTAGCCGGAAGGACTAAATTGGCACAAAAACAAAAGGTTTATGACTCAATTGGCACCAATGCAAAAGGTTTATGACTTTTCTGATACTTTTCCCGCCCAACAACCATGGCCATATTTTTTTCCTCCAATGGCTTTTACTTAGATGCTAATTTACGAGTAAACGTGAAGATCTTGCAACCTCAAGCATTTGAAAAAATGGCTGATTGATATACTGTATATGAATGGTGAATGAATTTTTTTCCCAGTTTTCTTGCTTTGAGAAAGTATGAAGGGATCACCTTGATTGAAGAGCGTTTTTCATCTTGGCCGTGTAGTTTCTATAGATTAAAATTTCAATTCAGAGTAGCATGAGCTAATCGCTGGCTCATTTCCGATTGTTCGGACCGTTATACATAAGCTGCCAGAACATTAAGAAGAGCAGGCTACTGGGCTTTGCCTGAACTCTGTTGACTATTGAAGACATGACTTCTGAAGCCAAAGTGGTGGCTAAAGCTTGGCCACCGAATATCTTTAGCTCGAGCTCAGCCATTGTAACTTCCCTTTTGTCTTTATGTTTGCATTATTTCTTCCTTCTATGATCTTTCCTTTCTTGTTTCCTTTGTGGTTGGGTTTTGGGAGAGATCCTTCTTAAGTGATTCATATAAGACACTTTTGTCAATGTATATTAAGGAATGATCATACAGAGAAATAAACTGCGAGACTAATATTCATAGACACATTGTTTACACTGATTCCACACACAAACTAGTCTTGTCACTAGATACCTCGTTTTCTTTTCCTGTTCTGTTGAGAAGTAAAAGCACACATTACAAGGGGCATAGAGTGGCTGCAGTGGTTTCTGGGTCACTAATGGCCCTAGAGCTATAAGAGAACCCTTGCTATACGTGTTGCAGCCTCCTTGGGGATGCAGTACATATATCAACAAATGATAAAGAATGAATATTTGGTTAACCAGTTACGTAAGCTCCTTCATGCTCATAATTGGGAATAAACTGATCTATGGGGAGAAACATCTTGGGTTCTTCTTCGTTCATCTGCCACAGTGAGTCGGAGCTGTATTCCATTGTTGGTGAAGCCATGAGAGGACAAGAGAAATTGCAGCTTTCTTCACTGTAGCCATCATAAACAGGTATTATTCCATAACCGTCTGACAAAGCAATTTCTTTCCATATGTCATCGATTGAATAGACATTTTCACTTTTCCCCTGTTCTTCAATATTCTTTTCAGTTGAAGTTAACATATCACCAGGACCTCCTGTGTCGTAGAAGCTTTCTTTTCCAGTCTCTTGTGTCGTTAATGAATCCACTGAGGGGTTGTTCGATGAGGAAGATGAGATATTTGAAGAAGATGATGATGGGGATGGGGCATGCTTCTTTTCTTGAGCTTTTTTCCTCATATGAGTCCTCCAATAGTTCTTTATCTCATTGTCCGTTCGCCCCGGTAGCTTGCGAGCAATTCTTGACCATCTGCACGTAATAATTCCTTGTGAATTAGGCCAATAAAGGCAGATTATATGGAAAGACTATTAAATAGCAAAATCACTTATCTACTCAAATGTTGCATATTAAGATTTTGATAAAAATGATATGATTAACAAAGTTAACAAACCTATTTCCCCATTTGGAATGAAGTTCAAGCACTAGTCTCTCTTCTTGAGGTGTCATCTTCCCTCGTTTTAGGCCAGGATGCAGGTAATTAACCCAGCGTAGTCTGCAGCTTTTTCCTGTTCTATTCAATCCTAGAATAACGCTGGGCCGGTTAGAAGTTGCTCCTTCTAAAAAACCCCCAAGCTTTAAAATGAACATACCTATTACTGTCTCCCGCCACCTTCAAACCTGAAAGTTTTGCTACAAAATCCCATCGGCGATCCCCAAACAGTCCAATAAAGCAGACCAACTGGAAATCTTCTTGTTCTGTCCATGGACCCTTTCGGACTTCTTGCACCATTTTCAATTCCTCTGTGACTCTTTGCTTTCTCCTGAAAAGGAAACTCAAAACCGCCTACTTACTAGAACTTGAAGACCTATGTGTACTCTTGCAATTTATATATAAGCCAGTGCCTATTGTTGAATGACCATTTGATAACTCCTTATCATTATGAAAAGATTGCTTTTCTTTACCACCACACATATGGTGGACACTTGCTCGTCTCTTGATAGGCACCTTAGGCATATGACATCAGCCATTACGTTGAAATAACCAAAGTGAGAGATTGATCTGTAGATGTAACTTTCAACACGGTTCTCTTTGCGATAATGTAAATCACAAAGGCATAATTTAGAATATCACGAATAAAGTTGAGCGAACCGTTGTTCTTCCTCTTTTCTGTTTCTGAAATTATATAGCCCTCAAGTTACTACTTGTATTTGTTAGGATGATCGTTTGATCCTACCTGATATAGTTGTTGATATTTACTTTAAAAAGGAGGTTAACTAAACAGTGTTATTTCAAAGTGTAAAGTGCTTCAGTGGATCCATTCACATGAAATACAGTGTAAGAAGTAATGTATTATTTTATCCATCATCTTGGCAAAAAAGTGCAATAATTGATTTCAGGACACAACATGGGCTCACAGCCAACTGGACCACAGTGAAGTTCAGAAATGGAAGTCACCTCTCAAAAGATGTTCATCCCTTCTTATCAGTGTGGAAAAATTGATGGTTTGTCCCTTGCGTTCTTAAAGGCTATAGTAGAAGGTAAATGAAAGAAAAGGAAAGCCAAAAAAAAAATAAAGATTTGAAAACCAGGGATAGGGAAGGAACCTTTAGATTGTACGTAAAGTGACTTTTGACTCTATAAAAAATGACAAGATGCACTGAGAATTTGTTCTACAAACTTTAGGTTCAAGAGCTTCTAGACTAATTTCCTACATGCACAGGCAGGTTAAGAGGGCTCTTTCCTAATTTGAGTTGTCTTTGTGGATTTAAGTAAGTCATATAGGCCATTTCAAATCTATTTGATTTGACCATGTTCTCTGTTACAATGGCTATTAACGTAACAAGCCACTTCTCAGACTGAATAGGCAAGATGTCGATAGGGATTCTCCCTCGCCTACTTGCTAAATTGGCCTTGAAACCATGTCAATTTCTTCAGTGATGTGATTCCTCTATATGGCTAAGGCACGACTTAGTTACCGCAGCACTAGTGGTGCTTAGTTACTGTGCCACTAGGAATAATATGATAATATATATCTGCACAAAGTGAGATGTGATATCATATGCTCCTGTTAAAGCTAAGATCAATTTATTCGTGGCCTTGGTGTTAATGATATCCAGCATGAATATGACCTATATACCATAAGGAGCATTTGTGTAGAAAACGAATGGCTCGGTGGGTTCTGGATTCAAGAGCTCTTATAGTGGACAATACTGTCTAATCTGGAAGATTAGAGATAAAGATGTACCACTATGACGTGGATGCCACTAATCTATGGCCATTCCACTCCACTCTCTCTCTCTCTCTCTCTCTCTCTCTCTCTCTCTCTCTCTCTCTCTCTCTCTCAATAATATATATGAGGATATGCTAAGTAATTGTATAATATATACCCAGTCAGGAAGGGCAAAGAGCTTTTTTCACTGAAGATTAAATAAAGATGTAGTGCAGGGTCGGTCAGTGCGCACCGCTCAAAACACGAGGCATCTACATGAACACCTGCATAACCAAACATAATCTGGTGGTCGTCTTGCATGGATGTGATGCTTGGAGCTGTTTATCTAGTGGGTTGAGGTTCATATGCGTGATCCTTCTCAGGGGTATAGTGTTTTTTTTCCTAGGGCAGATCAGTTTGGCGCATGGTGGATTTGTGCTCTTTCCTTCGCCTTGTCTCTTCCTAGATGCTGATCAATATGCTACGGATGCGCGCGGTTCTAAGATCCGTGCTCAAATTTGTTTCATGGACCCCAAAACTTTCGCCCACTTGCAGCAGCCATGCATCACTCGTTCATCTCAATCTTTATGCAGTAGAGTTAGACTAAATGGCTCTAGATGCAATTATATTATTTGATACGATAAGATCTTATGTGATTTCTTTTTGAGGAAGATTAATTTACTGGTTACTTTATATCCTTAGGACCTCAATGGGAGGACTAGAAGCACCGATTTTGATGTGTCCCCCTTTCGGAAGTGGAGCGGGAGGTGCTTGCTACATTTATCCAATGGCGTGGAGAGCACAGGCCCCATTTTCTGGTATGGTTACGCATTGCTTTGCTTTGTGGCCCCATCCGTTCCCCTTGCGCAGTAGGTCATCGCTATTAAAAAAATGAAGCGCAGGTCGTATGATGCCCCAATTAGGACAGAATCGGTCCTCTCGGTACGATTGCGGAATAATCGTGCAAAGTACTCCAATACAATTGGCTTTCAGTTTAGGAAGATGCTTTGTTTGAATTGGGAGCGGTACTGTAAAGCACATAAATCTTCATCGCGCGCTCTTTTTCCTACTTTATTAGGAATCACACTAACACCCTAGTTGTCCCGAGCGCCTATTGGAATGGAAAGGAGATATGCCGGTCCATCCCGTGCTTAGATTAGAGAAGCTCACCCATTCAGCTCATTGTTTACACCAGCTTTGCAGCCTTGCCGTTGTCGGGCGTCCATTGATGGTGGCTAACAACTCATTAATCAACCTTTGACCTGTGATTTTTCAATGTTTGGTTGCTTGGTGCCGCCAGGAACTGTCCGAATCGAAATGACAAGGAGGGTTTAAATCCGCTTTTATTAGATAATTGTCCGAGCGAAAGCATTTCTTCCGTTTGGAGAGTTTCATGTCCTCCGCGAGTAGTTTCAGCTCGGCAGCTTCTGTGATGGACCAGCTGCATAAAACGAGTTTTTAGATTGGGAATGATATGAGGATCCTTCTTTTGTAGAGTAGTGTGCGCTCTTCCCACGGACTAGTTCTCTTAAAACGGACTACTCTTGTAATCGTTCTCTAGCGAAATTGAGGAAAATTATTCAAAAATTCTCAAACTTATTGTGTGGATGTCAATTCGGTTCTAAACTATTTAATTGTGCCAATTTAGTCATAAATCTTTTGATGATTTGCCAATTTAGCTCTCAACCTTTCAATTGTATTAATTCAGTTCTAAACCTTTTGATAATTTACCAATTTAGTCTTAAATTTATTAATTAGATATTTGGCCGGAAGGACTACTTTGCAAATCATAAAAAAGAAATATCAAAAACTTTAAGATTTTTTAGATAATTTTCCTAGCGAAATTGTTCTCTCTCCTTTTTTCTTTTTTTGTCTTTTCCTTTCTTGTGACTGTGGGAGAAGTAAAACCTCGAATCAGCTTAAGCCAGATGGAGGAGGAATTCCCCTGTTGGCGTACTGCTGTCTAGATTCCCATCCGAGCATTATCAAATGCATGGCCCTGGGTGCGCGATGGTGGGACCTGAACGGGCATTTCCTTGTCTGCCTCGTTATCGTGATGATTGCCAATTGTCAATTCCTTTTCCAATTCTGATGATACCATATGCTGTTCTTTCTGAAGAAGAAAGAATCTCCTAAATTCCAAATTCTTTTTGGTTTTTTTGGCTCAAATCCTAAAGTCCAACTTGAAGTCGTGTTCCTTCACCCCACAACAAGGCAACAATTCAAAGCCACAGAAAAAGCAAAGAGAATTCTGCTGCAAGCCGGCTAGCAAGAACGATAAAATTATAAAAAAAAATCTTAAATCTATTATAATTATATCAACTTAGTCTTAAATTTGTTTTTGGCCAGTTGAGTCTTAAATTTGTTTTTGGCCAGTTGAGTCTTAAATCTTTTGTATTTGTGCCAATTCAGTCGGTCTGGCCATTTTTGGCCGGAAATCGTTAACATGGACGCCAGTCCTCTTACATGGCGCGGCCGGTGCTGATGTAGATATTTTTAAATAATATTTTTTCGAATTTTTTTCTTTTTCTTTTTTTTTTCTTCCCTTCTTCCCTGGCAACCGGCTAGAGACAAGGGTGAGCCTCACCATGGCTAGGCGCCTCACCCAGCCTGGCCAGCCATGGCGAGGGTGTGCCTTGCCAGTGGCTAGGTAAGGTTGAGTTTGCCGGCCCTCGCCTTTGGCCGATTGCTGAGGTCTGGTGACCAGCTAGAGGAAGAAGGGAAGGAAAAAAAAAGAATAAATAAATAATTCGAAAGAAATAATTAAAATATTATTTACAAATGTCCATGTCAGGGCCGACCGCGCCACATAGGATGATTAGCATTTATGTAAGCGATTTCTAGCCAAAATTGACCGGATGAACTGAATTGGCACGATTGTAATAGGTTTAAGACTTTTTTGGTAATTCTCCCAACAGGAACTTGTGTTGGGGTGACATTTACCTTGCCTCGAGGTGATGTTATAACCAATGCGGAAACTACAATGAAATTGGAATTGAGAAGAATAAAAGAATGCATAGATTTACGTGGAAAACCCTTGCGAGAAAAATCACAGAGAGAAGTAAAATTCACTATAGAAATTCAAGGATTACAAAATGTGATTCAAAAAACATTAAAACTAATTTTGTCTTTACTTATTAAATCTAATAACTTGATAAAAATAATATTTATATTGCTCCAGTGTTGGGCTACGGGCTTGGACTCCCAAGCCATATGCTACCAACACTAAACCTTCATTTATTTTTCTCAAGTAACATCGCCACAAATTTCAATACGGGTATCAAAAATTACAGAATTAAAGACATACTAAAGAGGTGAAGAAGTGAAAAAGCTTTTCTTTTTCGCAAGCAGCCGAGCAATTGGTGTATGTCTTAGCATCAGGGGTGTCAATGGGTCGGGTCGGGTCGGGCCGGGCTTTCATTATACCCGACCCAACCCGAAATATACAGGGTCACGCTTGACCCGACCCGCCTCAACCCAAGACCCTATTCAGCATATACTCCAAAAAATAGGGTCGGGTTGAGTCGGGTCAATCCGAGTCGGGTCGGTTCGGGTTGGGTTTATGGTTTTTTTTTAAACAAGGACCAATCTTTTCCATTTCCGAGCTCCATCCTGCCCTTAGCAACAGAAGCTAAAGCTCATACAAGCTTAAAGAATCAACATCATCATTACTCAGAGCCATTGCTCTTCCTAAAATTTCTCACAATTCACACAACAAATTGGAAGATACAGCAACAAGAGCCAGTCGCCCGCATACCCACGACGATACCACGAACGCAACGTTGAGAATTTGACGCATGAGAGAGATGGGGGCGTTTACCTATCGGACATGATGGCAATGGACTTGAAGGCCTGGATAAGGTTGCGGTCGGGGTTGGCGCCGCGGCCCTGCCACTTGCCGAGGGAGGAGCTAAGGAACTTGCCGGAGGAGCCGTTGGGCTTGGAGATGACGGTGGAGAGGCCGCCGTCGGTGAGGAGGGGGTTGTAGGGCCCACCGACGCGGACGGGGTCGTTGTCGTTGGACTCGCTGGCGAAGGTCCACCACTCGGAGGTCTCGTCGATGGAGTGCGCCTCCAACACTAGGCCGCACTCCGAGCAGATCGTGTGCGCCTCTACTCCGGCGGAAAGGATCGACGGGGAGACGGAGCTCGCTAGGGAGGTGAGGCTCAGCGGCAGGGCCTCGACTTGGGCGGTCACGGCGAGCGCTATGAGGGCGAGGACGAAGGCCACGACGGCCATGTTCGCGAACTTCACGGCCGCCATTGCCACGAACTTGAATTCGAGCTCTCATGTAGAGAGAGAAGAGAGCGAAGGGGAGAAAGAGAGGGGGAAGGGCTGTTCTGGGTTATATTTGGTGCTAGGGTAAAAAAAGCCCAGCCCGGTCCGGCCCGACCCTAACAAATACCCACACCTAAAACCCTTACCCATAGAAGACCAAGACTTGACCCCAAAATATCCTAAAATTTCGGGTGGGCCGGGCCGGGACGGCCCGGGCTTTTTTGACACCCCTACTTAGCATGACTTCTTTTAGAGAGCAACGAAAGTGAAGTCGAAACTCAAACTGGAAAAGTGGAGATGTTCAAGGGAAAGTACTAGAGTACGGGACGAAGTACTTCCAAAAAGCTCTATCTTTCGATTCAGCAAAACCAAAAACATAAGGAGGGAAACCCACCCATCGGTGGCCGCGTTGGTTTGCACTTAGTTCCTTTCACGAGAGGTCCTGGGTTCAAACTCGCTCATCGGTGATTTAAGTGGGGGGTCGTGGCGGTGGGATGCTGCGCTAACCCCCCTCGAGGACTAGTCGGGCATCACCGCTGGTTTGGCCCTAGCTCGCCGGCCGCGCGGACACCTCGGTTATCAAAAAAAAAAAAAACATAAGGAGGGAAACAAAGAACGTCCGAAAGAGACGCAAGGTCGTCAACAAAATGTTGTTTGGACCGGTGCAATTAGAGGAAAACAGAACGTTCGAAAGAGGGACAGGATCGTACACCAGTGATGTTTGATCCTTTTTGCACCGGTCCATAGTGTTAGCCCGGTTGATGTGGCGCTGCTGCTGGTGGTGGTTCGGCCCACTGTTGCGAGGAACAGAAATGATCCCTTCTCCTTTTGGACCGAAGTCCATTGATGATGAAGCTCGTGTAAAGCAAAGCCATCGTCATATGAAAGTGGTTGGCGAAATCAGTTCCCGGCATTTACTTCATTGAACCGCTCCCATAGTAATGCAGTCGCTTTAGCGTTCTTCCCTTCCTTTGGGGTCAAACTTAAAAACTTTGGGGGTCCTCGAATCGAGAGCAGAAGTCCACTCCACACACACACGGGGCCTGCGAAAGTTCCGCCATGGAATTCACGTCCCAAATAAAAAATAAAGCACCGTTTCGTTTTCACAAGATTATCAACTTCTTTGGTCATTGCTAACTGCGAAGAGGTCTTTCCCCGTCTGGTCTGCTATATAGGACGAGGATTAGGTACTCCCAATACTCCACTTGTGATAATCATTAGATTCACTTTAATTATATATATACATAAATATTCATATGAGTCGTTGAATCGAAAACTTGATGAACAAATAGCCATTTTCCATATTTCGCAACTTTTCCATAACGGCTCGCGCGTCGTAACTTAATACAAAACATGATTAGTATTCGAATGGTCTATTGTTTTTACCCTCACGCCATGCTACAAAAGGCCTGCGATATTTTATCGTAACCCGACAACAAAACGCCCGTAAATTTACGACATTCCAGAGAGGCTCACGGAGATTTCGCCCGTGATACGGTGCTGTGTGTTTCTGAATCAGATTTCATCTTCTTTCACCGCGTGGAGGTGTGTGACGAGCGGGGCAAAACCACGTGCTTTGGACTTACCTCCCCCCATTCCAAATCGCGCGTACAGACGCCATGTGAACGGGGGGCCACGACCAGATCGCCGATAATTTGGACTACCGACTCCTCGAAAGCATCACCAACAACATAAGAAATAGGAAAATCTGTTGCTCTCTTTCTTTTTTGGAACTTTTCAGATTTCAATCACTGGCACCGCAAGAAATTGAAGGCCCATGTCGCTCGATGGGCCTCCTCTTTGCCTCTTTCGGACACCCCCCCGAGACCTTTCACCCCTTAAGCTTTCCCTCCGTCCCACGCCCTCACTTTTCTTTTATTTTTTTACCCACCCTTTTCGTGCTTCGCTATGCGCACACTTCGACGTACCCGAAGGCTGTTGGCCACTTCTGCCGCTGGACGACATGGGGACATGCAAGATCTCTCCCAAGCAAAAGATTTCGTTTCGTACCACACCGTGTGGTGGAACGAGAAGAAAAGAAACGCACGCGCAGGCCCTCCCCGTCGCTGATCGGACGTATAACCTTGCACTGGGGCAATCTCCATCTCTCTCTCTCTCTCCCCCTTGTCTTGCTTTTGGTCCGAGCTGCCGTGGGTCAGTCTCAAGATCTCGATGGCAAAAACAGGAATTGGGCATATCTGATTGATGGATGTGGGGGAGGAGGTGATGTGGTCAACGATGTTTTGCTTTTTGTTTTTTTTTATTTTTATAAGCAGGCTTTCCACATTGACTGTAGGGGTCCACCTCCACCTCCTTTTAAATTTACCCCTCAGTTCGAAAATCTCCCCTTTTTATTAGTTTTTCTTAGTTTAAAAGGGCCGAGGCAGCAGGAAAAAGGGGGGGAGATTTCGAGCTGAGGGAAGAAAGGACGCAATCATCGCGGGCAGATGTATAGGGTAGGGGGGGGGGGGGGGTCAGAACAGAAGTTAGGTGTTGATTGTTGACATTAGACAGACAGCGGTCAACTCTTCTTGAAAGCGTTTGAATTTAGGGGTAAAAAACAGATGTGTGCCCAAGATGCCGCACCAGCTCATTAGCTTGCTAACCCAACGTGGAAGCGACGATATTCCTTTTCGAAATGGGTATATGATTTTCGTAAAAAAAAATATCGAGCCTTTTGACTTTGAAACACGATCCTACGGCCCATTCCGCCAACGTGGAGGATGCAAGCGCAGGAATTTTGGGACCTCTAGAATCTTCTCCCGTCTTGAACTTCTACATCCGCCCCCCAAGCCAGAAGCTGAAGAGTCAAAACTAAGACCGAGTCTAATGGGGCGACTCCCATTACTATGAAACTGACAGTGATGGTCGATGCCTTGCATCCGCGCGGCAACCCTATATCCTAATTGAGATCAATTTCATGGAAACGTTCAATTTCACATCGCCACTAATTGATGACACTTTTATAACAATCGGAAGCTTTCATCGGTTTTGCTGTTTATTCTCACCTGGAAGAATGCATGTAAACAACTACTGAAAATCGTTGGAACCGTCTGTCAAAAAGTGTCAGACGTGTCTAATAATTAAATTTGAAAATACCATATATTTTAATGCGGCGGCTTCTGAGTAACGTATGTAATCTGACGTTTCGTAAAACCAAAAACACCTAATTTGCGAAATATCTTCACTAAGTGCCTCGAATATTTGTTTACAAGAGCCTAAAAAATAAAGATGAAGGGAGTAATACTAGGTTTTAGGATCTTAGGACTCACAACAGCAAGTGCTGAAGACCAAAACAACCAGTTTTTGTTCGGTAGCTGTTGTTTGCCGCATCCCCATTTTGAATTCCCCTGTTCTCCCCCCTCCTACCTCGTTCACATCTCTCTCTCCCTCCCTCTCTCTCTCTCTCTCTCTTACTATAAAACCAAAACCCACTCTGCCTCTCTTTTCCCCTGCCCTTCCTCTTCTCACTGTTCTCCCTGGGTGGGTACACGACTTTCTCTGAAGTTTCTGGCTCACTTTCTTGGAACAGAGTGAATTTGCACTGCACATGCACGGTCCTCGAGTCTATGTCTCGGCTCCTTTCATAGCGACCTTACTCTGTTCTCTTTGTTTCCTTCTTTTCTCAACATGCAGAGACAAGCAATGGCTGTCGCTTCCAGGGCAACAAGAACGACGGCGACAACACCACCGCCATCAGAGCTTCAGATCCCCAAGAGATGGAAAGACGGAGAAACCATCCCCGAGAGAACCAAGGTCTGGGCCGAGCCCTCCAAGCCCAGCAAGGCCGGCACCGAGAGAAGAGTCCCCGTCGTGTACTACCTCTCCAGGAATGGCCAGCTCGAGCAACCCCACTTCATGGAAGTCCCTCTCTCTTCCCCTGAAGGACTCTTTCTCTCTGGTAATTTACCTGGTTTCTTTCTTGTTTCCTTTTGCTTTGAGCAGTGGTGGCATGCTCTTCAATCTGTTTGTCTGCATTCACTGGGCAATGGCAAATGTTACAACCCCTGTTTTTAAACTATCGACATTCACGAGGGAAACGCACAAAACATAGACGCTTTCTCGCACATCTTCAAATGAAATTTTCTCTTCGGTTTGTTCATCATCTGAAGTTATTTTGTGGGTAATCAAACGGGATTTTTCCCTCTGGTTCCGTTCAGTTCAGAAATGAGCGTGATAAGGATACGCTCACAATGCCTGTTTCTCTGCTTCGTTTCTCAGATGTAATTAACCGCTTGAACCTCCTCCGTGGCAAAGGCATGGCTGCCATGTACTCCTGGTCTTCCAAACGGTTAGTTTTCTCGAGAAAAATATGCAGTACGACCTCGACTGATCTTTCTCCACAAGCCCTGTTTGATCGATCCTTGTGGGCTCATTACAACCTGAAATTCCCTGAAATGCAATTGCAGGAGCTACAAGAACGGCTTCGTGTGGCACGATCTGGCCGAGAACGATTTCATCTACCCATCGCATGGCAACGAGTACGTGCTCAAGGGATCGGAGCTCCTCGAGTCTCCTACTCCGTCGTCTTCCTCGACCGCGAGGCCTCTCGAGTCGGTGTCGTTCCGGTCCCCGAAGCCGATCAACACGCCGAAGTCGATCGACGAGTCGGACTTCCCGGTCATCGCCCGTCGGAGGAACCAGTCGTGGAGCTCGATCGACCTCCACGAGTACAAAGTCTACAAGGCCGAGTCCAACGGCGAGTCGACGCCGACAGCGGCGGCGGACGCGTCGACCCAGACGGACGACAAGAGAAGGCGAAGACGACACGTCAAAGAGAGGGAGAGCGAGATTCGCGAGCTTCGCGGAGACGACGGAGCGGACCAGGGTCAAAGTCAGAATCCCGGTCGAAATCAGACGACGGAGCTGAGCAGGGACGAGATCTCGCCGCCGCCGTCGGATTCCAGCCCCGAGACGCTGGAGACCCTGATGAAGGCCGACGGACGTCTGATAATAGGCGGCTTGAACCACGGAGGCAAAGAGGCGGACGGCGGATCGGATCGGGCGGCTGGGAACCTCCAGGGTGGCAAGATCAGGGCGTCCTCGGTGCTGATGCAGCTGATATCGTGCGGCTCGCTCTCGTTCAAGGACTGCGGGGCGACGTACATTAAAGATCAAGGGCTGTCGCTGATTGGGCACTCCAAGACGAGGCTGCGCCGCGGAGCAGGGGATAACAACGGCAGCAGCGGCGCCGGAAGCGGCAAACGGGCGGGGGCATCGGGGAAAATCCCGAACTTGGCGGGGTTAAGTTTGGAAGATAAGGAGTACTTCAGCGGCAGCTTGATCGAGACCAAGAAGAAGGACGAGGTGGTCGTCCCGGTATTGAAGAGATCATCTTCTTACAATGCTGATCGGTGAGGGACCGAGGACCTCTCGTGTGTTCATATATTACTTGTTCTTTCTTTCTTCATTTTCGTTGGAGCAATTCAACTTGAATTCACAGCTTTAATGTAATTTTTAGGGTCGGTGTAACTTTTTTGGAACTATGTAGTAGGCTCGTTCACGGTGCTGCAACGCGTTCGAAGGGGTCGAAAATTCGGCGTTTCCACTGGTTTTTCATCTGCTGCTTCAATCTTTCTATAGCAAGAAACGCTAGCTTATGTGATCTGATTTGCATCATGATAGATAAGCAAATTATAGGTACTAATGGCATATGAAGAGGAGCTGGGCGTCGGCGGGATCAAGAATCTGGAAATGCTTTTATTATTGCTGCGGCAGCAGCAGCATATTCTCTTAAGTTTGGCTTATTCTTGAGTCAGACATTACGCAAGAGAACACGGCAAGAATGATCCGAGGCTAACACTGTGCAGTCACGATGCGCGCGTAGCGTGCGTGGCTTCGCTGTTTGTTTTCGAGCAAATTGGTTCCTTTTCGCATTTGATTGGGTTATGTAACGAGAGACCCTTCTGCCCTCTGCTGTGGCCTCTCTAATCGTTTCGATGCTAGGTTCATATTTCGTACTAGGGTTTTACGTCGTGCCAGCCATTAGCTTTATTGCATTGCCATTCTTGGACTGAGAAACGTCCTATGTGTCTGTCTGGATGCGTTAGTGCGGTCACATTAACTTTTCGACTTGTCTTTTATATGATTAACGGGCCCAATAAATGATTGCCGTCCCCTTTATAATGACGCCGATCTAATGTTCCTCACTTGCTGCTCTGCTCCATGTGCGATCCAAAAGTGTTCGACATTTTCTTAAGCTCGATAAGAAAAGTGCTTTAGGTAATGTCAACATTCTGCACTGGGCTTATGTCTTCGTCGATATCGGTCATCTTTTATTTCATTGTCCACTCACAGTTCGGACATTCTCGTGTATTTTCTAACATTCACGCCCTTTAAAACTTCCTATGGATAGGATCTCGCCAAATGCAAATAACCGAAAAGGGGTTGAGTGAAAGTGGAGGCGAAACGCATAGCGAGAGATACAAACTATTGAGAAAGAGCGGGATTTACAAGGTCCAAAACAAGAAAGGTAGAATTAGAGGAAAGCGAAAGCCAATAAAATTGTGGTAGTTGTCGCTATATGTCATTGGTGGGAGTAAATCTCGTCAGAAGATATGTATGTGTAATTAAATAGTTCGCCTAAACTGAAACTGGACGCAGATAGAGAGAGATCAAGGACGCTTGTGGTGGATCCACTAAAAACGCGCAGGGAAAGGCGAAGAGAAGGGAATGTAACCCCAGAAACCGAGGCGAAGGTTGACTATGGCTGGAAGTTGTGCATTGCAATTTGCAAGGCACGGCGAGCACAGCAAGGCTCGTGTGCCGAGGCGCAAAAGTTGGTGGTGATTGTGCCACGGCTCTGCTGAAGGCTGTCTTATGTCTTATACGTGCCCTTTTTCACCTTGTAAGCTTTTGGTTATCCTCAACCTTTGCTCTTTCGGTATCTTAAAATTTTTTGGCGTTTAGTTTCGTTGCACTAGCTCTCTAATCGAATACTATTAAAACTTTGACGATAGGATTGATGATTTGACTTTGCAACATGGGTGGGTCTAGGGTTTATCACCCCCCCTCTTTGACTTCTCATGGGTTTTGTTTTGAGCACTCACGTGCGAGGTTGAAGAAAACAAAGAGAATAGGGGAGAATGCTCTGCTAATTTCCATGTATAGTGCCTGAATCGAGGAAGAGAGCTTGGAGATGGGGAAGGTTCATCGTCCCAAGGGTTCTGAGTTTCCATGGTAATTTTGAGTATCAAGACATCATGTATCTCTTCAAGAACATTGTATTGCACTCATCTCGCTCGGAGTTAGTCTTATGAGGATCGAGGAACGGTTGTAATTGTAATAATCCTCCGAGGAGTGGTACGTACCATAGTTGAAAAGACCTATTGATACGGAGCATGAACCCTTATCGATGTATAATAATTTTTTTTTAGTGTTGACTTTTTTAGAAATTTAAGCCATTAAATAAAAGCGTGATTTACCTACCTGCGCATGGCCGAGTTGGTGGGCGCTTTCCTTCCCTCAGAGAGGTTCTGGGTTCGAATCCCCGCTCGGTTCCGTAATTTAAGTGGGGGGCCCTGGCGGTGGGTTGCTGGGCTAGTCTCCCCTGAGGTATAGGCGCCCCGATTACCTGTGCGGGCTCGTTCCCGGGAAATGGTGGCGGATCCTCGGTTACAAAAAAAAAAAAAAAATGAAAGCGTGATTTTAAATATTTTAACTCACGCTTAGGCTGGACTTTGACTTAAACCTTAAGCATGGAAACATGAAAAACAAGAAGCAAATAGGGGCCTAGAAATATTCAAACTCACGACCACTGTGTTGAGATTTTGTTGAACCACTTCCACATAGGATTATGTAGTTGAGGAGGCAAATATGGGCCGGCAAATATTTGAACTAGTAACCTCATGCCCTAATGCCATGTGAGAGCGTAATTTGCTTGTATTACTCATCGTATAGTAAAAAATTCTTATACAAGGTATTGATCATTAGAGAAGAAAAAAGGAAGAATCTATCAAATATCTCTAACTAATTATAAGATATTTACAAAATGTTATGCTAACTAACGAACAAAAAGTAAATCCTAACTAACGATGAGATATACACCAAATATTAAAAAAAATAGAAATTAATTCTTCATCTTGCATAAATATTTGTATTGTACGATGAGTAATACAAGCAAATTATGTTGTGTCACGTGGTATTAGAGTATGAGGTACTAACTTCATTTCGCTTGATTGCTTTATGTGACTCTGAATGGGCGAGTGGCCCAATCACTTGGTGATCAGTTAATTTTTGCTCTGCTCAAGTTGAACATTGCACTATGGCAATTGCACCAGTGAACTGATTTATTTGTGCATTTTACTTGCCTCCCTAAGGGTATTGCTAGACAATAATGCGATGGGTTGTTATTGGGATAACCGAGTTGCCTTATACACTTCACAAACAAACAAAGAACGTCAAAATTGATTGTCACTTTGTTCAAGAACATGTACAGTGCAGGGCCATTAGAATCAAGCACGTGCCCATTAGACTTCAACTGGTAGACATTCTTAGCAAGACGTTGGGTCAAGATTGGTTTACATTTCTCGTTAGCAAGTTGGACATTTATGACCTCCATGCATCACCTTGAGGGGGAGTATTAGGGAACACTTGTTGAAGATTTACTTTATCTTTTTTTAATATTTGGCGTATCCCTATCATTAATCAAGATTTGCTTCTTGTTCGTTAGTTAGAATAATATTAGGGGTATGGTAGATTCTTCCCTTTCTTTTTCTCTCAAGCAATACATTTTACAAATGTACAATGAGCAATACAAGCAAATATACTGTTACATGATATTAGAGTAAGGGGTCTCAAGTTCAAATCTTTTCAAACTCTTATTTGGCTACCCAGTTACATATTTCCATTCTTCAAGCTCGGGCCAAATTCCAGCCTACATGTGAGGTGGGGTGTTACATGTATGATAATTGATATTCATCGCTTGTTTGGACTACGTTCGCTCCCTCTGAATTTTGTGGACGTATTTTGACTTTTGATTTGAATTTACGCAATAATTTAGTTTTTGCCATAAAAGGGGAAAAAAATACCCTTTTACCTTTTTCGAATTATAAAACAAATAGGGCTAAGAGTCTAGATATCCGAGATGACGACACCAGCAAAAAAATGAATGCTCGTGACTTTCTCGCCGAAACAATTTTTCTTTTTCCTAAATTTATTGAAGAAATCCACGTGACCTTAGATTTTCTATTTGGACCTGGCCCAGGCCCATCACCGAAGAAATTCGCTTCGTCAATTGTCACGAGTAGGTGCACCACGGCCCGGCCCAACACATGTGCCTTTTTGCGCTTTCGAACCCCCGGGCCTCCCATCGAGTGCAAGTCGCCTGAATCTTTTTTCAATTCCAATTCAATCTCTCCAGCATACGTACATACATACGTATTTAGACACGATTATCGTTCATTTATCCTTTTTAATTTGACTTTTTTAACATACATTTTAAATGAAATCGCGTGTTGGTTCGGTGGACTTTATTCTTTATGCCGACAATCGTGATGTGGATAAAAGTTGACATTAATAGAAATGGGCAATGTGAGGTTTCGGATTAACTCGAAGTCCATCGCTCTTCCATTGCCTCGAAAGGGACCCTTCTAACTCTTAAAAAATGAAGAAACTTAAAAATAAGATGTACATGGATTAACTTCATTAATTCTAATACCCGACACGGTTTTTAATGCTTAAAAAGCTAATCAAACAGGCCCCATCTTTCGCAGCTTTTTGGAACGACAACTTATTTATTTAATCAGTCGGAACGAGTCTAGCCAATAACTTTTTTCGCTATTAAAATTAATTCGGCCGTTATTTAAATTATTCCGATTGCAACTTACTTGTATTAAGATTTTCAGGGAGCTTAAGATTGGAAGTTTCGTTTCGTCTCGTCGACGTCATATTTGCTTCCCGTTGTTTTGAGCTTTCAAGTCTGACCTTCTTCGCGTATTATCTTACACAAACATTGAGCTTCAAGAAACCTCGTCATCCTAATCCTTGAGGCTTGTCTTTCTGCGAAACTGCTGGGAGTTGTTGCCCCTTTTCTGAAGCTACATAAGAAAAGTTAGGATAAGGTTTCTGACTGGTCCAAGCATACGAGTCCAGAGGAAAAACCCGTCCTTTTCCATCTAGAACTTGTCCAACACAGTTTGGATGGAAGAGTGCAGAGCGCGCATTATACAATAGAAAACGTGTCTACGCAGCATGTACGGCAATGACTAAAATATAGTCTACGAACCGCGTGTTATGTTCAACATGCATGTAGAAGTATCTGACTTGCTCCAGATAAGTAAGATCTGCTCAATAAGATCTTGGACTCGGGCATTTAGCAATGCCGGAAGAATGTAGAAGCACGACCGTGGTGGGAAGCTGCCATCCGTGGTGGGTGAAAAAAGTAAAACACACGCACGAGACTTGCGTTCGGGTCACAGCCGAAGCTACTTTCTTGGTATGAACACCAGGGGCCTAGCGAAGAAAAGTAACACCGTAGAAAACACGGGTGCGAGTCTCAGCGAAAGGCGACGTTCTTGGGGATGGATCCCGTTATCTAAATCGTAACGGTGGATCGTACCGTGGGATTAGTCTCATGTCTTAAGAGACCCAATGTATTTTGAGTGATTCTACGGTGGTCTCGTATCAATGGATCAGACGCGCTGCCAAAAGAGCAGCAGATGCTCTTTGCCAAAGGGGCACTCCGGATGGTTCTTTCTACACTTGCTTTTATTTTTCGTCCCCACCTTTTTGTTGCCGATGTAATCCTCATGTTAATCATAATTTCATCCCTTATCAACCCCCTCGCCCCTTCAAAACAGGGCTTCTCTCTCTTTTGCGACCAATGGGCCGGGTTAGGACGAGTTGGACTCATAGGTCGGGCCTGATTTACTGCCCAAGTTTGCCCGCGACCAAAAATTTATTGAGGGATCGAACCGCCAGACTCATGATCAGGTCTACTTGTGAAGTACCTTTATGCGTGATATCGAATCTAGGTTTGGCCGTTTCAACGTACAAGATAGATCGTGGGTTGGTTACGCTCTCGTGGGTTAGTCACGCTCATCTACTAACCGGTCCTTAATTTCATTTGCCCAACCATACATTTGAATCAAAACCAGGTGCTTCGATGTTGTTGGAATCGAAATCAGATAACTAAAGGTTTAATAATTAGCTGAAACGATAGAGGTAGACAACCATGTTACGTTGAGGATAATAACGCCGAAGTGAATAAAAAAGCCCATGGGGGCGCGCGAGAGAGAGAGATTCGTTAAATTTCAGAGAGCAAAAACGTCACATTTCATATTGGACCTTCCCCGAAAGCTAAGAACTCGAAGTCGTTCTCGTCGAAATGATAGACGATAATTCGTCAACCATCTTCTTGAAGTTACGCGCAGAAGAACAGTCTTCTGAGAAAAAACACGAGCGTTTCCTTTCCCATTAGGTCGGGACTCAGACTCAGTGTAAGAAGGAAACATCGTACGAAAGTGACTGGCAACGGGTCTATGTACGGTATCTATAAAGTGAGTGTGGCAGTGGGGAAACCAAAAGCTCGAAGGCGGTTTGGCAGTTGGGAAGAAGCTTCGCTCCCCCTACTCCATATGACCAGACAATGGAGGAGCAGTTGTATCCGCGTTTCAGACAACAAGACGAAGAAGATAGGACCACGAAGCGAGGAAGTACCACAAACATTCCTCGATTGAGTTCTCCGGAGCTC